GCTGCAACAATGGGCTCAAGCATAGCAGCAAATGTGAGGATGGCGGAGGACCGAGCAGTGTTTCGTTCTGTTGTACAGAGGGTCGTTGTGAGTCGGAACCAACTAGACGGCACACAGCAAGATCGACAGTCTTTAGAAAAGCAGACCACCACATCTTTCTCCCACGGAATGGCTGCTGGGTTCGAACAACTGACTGTTCAGTTAGAAGCTGAGCGCTTAATCACTGTGCTACCAGGGCTCCTATACTGACAATACAACTTGTTTATTCAGCAACAGGGATATATACATGGAGCAATTAAGTTGGCCAAAAACGGGGTTTTCAGGAGACATGCCCCAGAGAGGGTGGTCCTTGAGCTGAGTGTTAAAGGAACTGCTGGAGTAGGGATTAGTCAGTCAGGCAAAGAGTATTTCTGGTAGAGAGTATAGCATGAGTAAAAGGACATAGGCAAGAAAAAGCACAGTTCGGTACTGCCTGAGGATAAAGGTGTGGCAGGGAGTGGTAAACGATGAGATTGGAGAGGAGGGTAGGGAGTAGGTCATGAAGGCACTGCAGGTGGCATTACCAGCTTAGACTTTACCCTGCAGGCAGTGGAGAGCTACACAAGAGTTTTCAGCATGCAGTGGTATTATCAGAGATCACTGCAGCGGCATTGGAGAAGATGGATTTGAGGGAGACTGAAATTTGAAGGAGCAAAACTACTTAGGAGGCATTTGCACAAGTGAGTAATAGACTTGTGTTTAATAATCATAGCTAATACCTATTTGGAGTCCTGGTGGCACATGGTTAAGAGCTTGGCTGCTAAACCAAAAAGGTCGGCAGTTCGAATCCACCAGCAGCTCCTTGGAAACTCTATGGGGCAGTTCTACCCTGTCCTATAGGGTCACTATGAGTCAGAATTGACTCCATGGCAATGGGTTTCGTTTTTTTAAATACTTACTTGCATTTATTACAGGAGAGGCACTAAATAAGCAGTATAATGTTTTATTATCTTACTTAATATTTCAAACAAACCTATAAGCAAGTACTGTTATTATCCTCATTTTACAGCTAATGAAACAGACATAAACAGGTTAAGCAACTTGCCCAAGACCAGGATTCAACTCAAGCAGTCTGGCACCAAAGCTCAACCTCTTAATCATTATCCCTTTTGTTTAATTTCTGTCTCTTGGAATAGACCAAAAGCTCCATGCAGACAGGGACTATACTGGTATTCTCCATTGTGCCTAAACAATAGGTTCACAATAACTATTTGTTGAATAAAGTAACAACCTAAGTGGAAGAAACAGTGGACTGAACTATGTATAATAATTATGTACATTTATGTAAAATTCAAGAAATATTTTGGATGTAATATTTGCCAGACTCTGGTAATTAACAGGATGAGGGTGGGGGATGGAAGGAGAAGTTTCCAGCCTGGGAGACTGGGGGCACAGCTGTGCCACTAACTGGGGTAGAAAACCTAGGAGGAGGAAGAGGAAAGATTCATTGTGGTCAATGGAACAACACTAATTATTCAGTACTTAGGGCTGGCCTCGCTCAAGCATAGAAATATAGTCGAAGTTAGCTATTTAAAACCATTTATTCAATAAATATTTATTCATCCCCTAGCCATGACGGCCACTGTGCTAGTCCTGGGAATACAGAGGTAAATAAGATTCATTCTCTGCCCTCAAGGAACTCACAGTCCAGTAGAGAGAAACACTGTTCCCTTTTGTCAAGCTAGCATGCTGGCTGGAAAGGCCATTCTTCCTTTTCCGACTTCTAAAGACATGTAACTCATAAGATGGACAGAGATAAAACCCCAAATGGACAAATGGCTTTGGAGTCACATGATCTGGATTTGCATCTTGGCCTTGGAATATACTAGCTGAGTGATGAGTTTGAGCAGGTGTCTTACCTGTAACTCTGCAAAGTTGTGATGAGAATCAGGTAAGAAACTGTAATGCAGAAATGTTTTGAGTGAAATATGCATGTTAGCAATGATTGTAATCATAAAAGCTACACTTCTAACCTGCAGAAGTTAGAGGTGAATCAGCCATGTGCAGCAAGTCAGAGGTGAAAAGGCTAGCTCTGAACCCTGTGGGTGCCAGGAGTTCTGGGGGGATTAAATCAGACTGGTGTAGTGAAAAAAAAACAAAACAAAACAGGTTTTGGGGGTCTGCAGATCTAGTTCCAATCACAATTCAGTCAGTTATCAGCTATGGAAAGTTGAGCCAGTCAAGTAATTGATTTGACTTTTTGTTTCTTCATATGTAAAATGGAGTTAATGATACCTACCCGGGAGGATTGTTCTGAGTATGTAAAGGGCTTGGCATGGTGCCTGGCACCAGCTGTTGCTCAATTAACGGTAGCTGTTGTTCTATTAACACTACCATTTTCCTCTCCTACCTCCTAAGGGATCTGTTTAGGTGGTTAAGTTGCTTGAGATGCAAGGAAGTGAGGGAAACAGAAGGGCTATTATGACTTGCTTAAAAAGTTATTTTTAAAGGTAAAGAAAAGAAGTTCAACTCTGCTGTCTTCTCCTAACCAGTGGTGCAAACAGAACTAAAAAAACGACCACTGTATTATGACGGCTTGGAGCCTGAGAACACTCACCTTGATTATTTCTTTTACTTCTATCCTAAGGAGATCTACAGTGCATTGTTAATAAAGGGTCTCTGAAACTGATGCTTCTCAAACTTTCACGTGCACACTAATCACCTAGGGTTTTATTAAAATGCAGGTTTTCATTCAGTGGATTTAGGGTGGGAGCTGAAATTTTGCATTTCTAATAAGCTCCCAGGTGACCACAATGCTGATGGTCCATTGACCACACTCTGAGTAAGCAGCAAGCTCTGAAGTATCATGGAAATATCTTTGTTAGCTCAACCCTTCTCTGGCACGGTGCTCACTGTAGTGAGATTTAACCTGGCCTGCTTCTCTTTAGTGATCTACCTAACTACGAACTGTTAATAAGATACTAACAAGTCTTTTTCAGAGCAGATTTAGAAATTCTACAAGGACTCATTTCAGATGAATATTGAATTTTCCGATCAGCTTACTGTGTGTAAGGAATTGTGCAAGGTGCTGAGGATACAAAGGTTAATAAGCCGCAATTCCTGCTTCTATTGACTGCTCTTATTCTAACACTGCATGCCCGCTAGGGTGTTACCTTCCTGAAGGCAGTCTCGTTTTCTTGTCTCCCCATCACCTGCCACTGTATAGATGCTCAATACTAACGAATGAATGAGTTCACAGGAGTTTCATTAAAAATGTCTTCCAGCAGCACACGAAAATGATTATCTTAACTGCACTCTATCTTAACGATCAATGTAATATTATTGTTACTTCATGGCTTTTACGCCCAGATTCAAGACTTCCTTCTGAAGGGCACATAAAATGTAAGAATAATTTTAAGAGTGGATAGATGAATGTCAGAGGCCAGTGGGAACTAGTCAGGCAACGATTGGGGGGCAGAGACAGAAGAGGGTGAGACAGTAGACCAAACTGGGCTAAACGAGTTCCCCTCCCCTTCTCATGATACCAATGCAAAGTCTAGGTCTGTTCTCTCCCCAGATCTGAGGCTGAGAGTAGCTTTTAGGATTTTTTTACCCCTTGCCAGGCTTTCCTTTGATGTTTAACATGATTTCACTTGACTAAAAATATTGTGGCAGAAAGAAGACTGTATGCAAAACCTAAAGAGTATCTAAAGTTAATGAGATTGAATTTTTGACAAAAAAAAAAAAAAAAATATATCAAAAACACCCAAACGAGAGTCCTGCTAGTTACAGGGGGCTACATTTGAAGCCTGATTCTAATGCTAGGAGATTGATTTATTTTGTTTTTAATAAACATGCCAACTCATATGTACAGATGAGTGTCTCTCTCAAAATAGTCATTCTGGAAGGTTCTACACTTTTTTAACCATGTCACTGCTCTCAAATCATTTGTGAAACTGCTTTCAGGGTCTGTGAGAAAGTCTTCTGGATGCTCTCAGTGGTGACTCCTGAAGGTAGATTTGATCTTCAAAAACAACCAAGGGTCCTTCTGGGCCAAATCTAGTGAACTAGGGGGCCCAGTCAAACTGTGTAACGCCAAGAGGACTGGCTCTAAAGCATCCAGGCTGATTTTTCTTGGGTGAATTATACTCAACCCTAGAAGACAGTTTCCAAAGACAAACCCCACACATGAAGTAAGCATGCTATAAGCATGGCATCAAGCTTGAAGTTAAGGGGCTGGTAATTGCTCTGAAGGAAGCCCCACTTATTCAGATATGCAAATGTCCCAGTGTCCCCTCTCCCCAGAATATTTTTTCAGCTCTAGATCTACCCTACCTCATGGGACCACACTTTTCAGAAGAACAAGGACCCCACTGCCTTACTTAACATTTAATCCCCAACCTGGGAACTTGATGTGTGTTGAATGAATGGCTAATGGACGTTAAATATGAGGGAAGAATTCTAAGGTGTGACTTACTCTATGTGATTCAAAGGGCAGAACTAGGACCCAGGGAGAAGCCCTGGAGGCAGATGTCTGCTCTAGGTAAGGAAGATTGTGTCAGCAGCCGGAGCTGTCCAGCAATGGAGTTAGTTTGCCCTGCAAATGGTGAGCTTCCAGCTCTGGGAGGAATTTAAAGCAAAAGCTGCTTGTTAGAGGAACCTGTAGAGGAGCCTCCTGTAATGGGTGGGGAGCTGTTCCAAGACCTTTAAGGGCCATCCCCAGAGTCCAGCCTCCACAATATCTGACAGCAGATTCTGAAAAAATACTGTTGGAATAGAATGAATGAGGAATATGGAGCATCTGCGTTCCAAGTATGTTAAGAGGCCTGGGGCTCAGCTGCAAAGAACGTGGGGAGAAGTGAGATGAGAACAGCCAGGGAAGGCATGAGGTAGGGCCTTCTTTGAGTCTTGGGTACCACAAGAGAGAAGTTACTTTGGGTACCTGAAACCTCCCAAAGTTATGAAAGGTTAATACCTTTGACGGGGATCAGAGTTGGAAGAGGAAATAAACCATTGCTCACCCTTCTTAAACTCCTCTAGCACTGTGTCCAGCCGAGTATCATTAAAGACGCAGTGCAGGGGCCGGTTGTAGAAGCGGGTGACGGTGAGGAGAGGGGTGCAGTCGTCCGGGTCCACGAAGGCCAAATCCTTGACAAACAGAATGTCCACAATGTTGTGCCGCTGGTCGCCCTCGTACACCGGGATGCGAGTGTAGCCGCTGCGCAGGATCTCTGAGACCGTGGCGAAGTCGAGCACAGCGTCAGAGCGCAGCATGAAGCAGTCGCCGAGGGGGGTCAGCACCTCCTCCACCACCTTAGTGCGCAGCTCCAGGGCGCCCTGGATGATGTTGAGCTCCTCCTTCACCAGGTCACTGTAGGGGTCTGCAGCCCGCAGCGTCTCCAGCAGCTTCTCCCGCGTGTAGAAGGTGCTGATCTCCTGGCGCAGCGCCCAGTCCAGCAGGCGGCCCAGCGGGTAGCACACGGGGAAGGCGGCCGCCATCAGAAGCCGCGTCAGGCACACGCTGTGCGAGGCGATGGCGAGCCCATGCCGCGAACACACCGAATAGGGGCAGATCTCGGCGCCCAGAAACACGGCGCCGGTGCACACGAGCGCCGGCAGCCACGGGAAGTGAATGCCTGCCTCGCTGTAGTCGTCCCCAGTGCTTCCGACGCCCGGCGGCAGCGAGGCGTACAGCCAGCCGGCCAGGGCTGCGTTGGCTCCGGCTTGGCCCAGAAGCAGGGTGCAGAGCAGATGGGTGCCCCTGCTGCGCACGGCCTGCACGCGGCGCGCCTGCTCCTGCTCGGCGGCCGAGCCGCTGTTCCGCAGCACCCGTAACTCCACCGGGTCCAGCGAGAGCAGGCTTAGGCGCAGGCCGCTGAACAGGGCAGACACGGCGAGCAGCAGGAGCGCCCCGAGTGCCCGCAGCCACGCGGGGAGCAGCAGATCACCGTCCCGGCCGTAGAGTCGCGGCCGGACGCGCAGCAGGAAGCCGCCGGCAGCGCCGTGGTGGTGCCAAGCGCGCCCGTCCCAGGCGCACAGCGAGAAGAGCTTCCCGCCACCGTCCACGGCACTCTGCTCCGCTTCGCCCTTGCGCAGCTCCCGCACCCGCACCTGGACCAGGGCCGAGCCCGCCACACCCCCGGGGCGCAGGGGCCCCAGGACCTCCACGTCGGACGCCCAGTCGCTCTGCTCGCGGCAGCGCTGCGGCCCTGGGGGACGCGTGGGAACTGTGTTGGGCGCCACGCCGCTGCCGCCCGGGGGCTCCTCGATAAACACGATCCGCGGAGCCCAGTCGCCGGTGCCGTTTTCCCCCGGGGAGAGGGTGGGTGCAGGGATCCGCGCGGCGGGCGCCGCGGGCCCCGGCTGGAAATAGACGCGCAGGAGAAAACTGGTGCCTTCAGCCGCGCGTAGGGTGCCCCCCTCCAGAGACACGCGGCCTCCCGCGGTGTCCTCGGGCCGTAGTCCCAGTAGCCAGGCGGCCGCGGCCGGAGGCCGAGGGGACAGGGAAAAGAAGAGCAGGAGGACGGCGCCCCGGCTGCAGCAGTCCCGGAGCCTGACACCCACCGCCGCTGCCGCCATCCTGCACCCGGCGCAGCTGCACGTGATACTGCAGAAAGCAGAGCAAGAGCTGGAGAGAGGAGGAGCCGGAGCCGGGAACCCGGCCCCAGGCGGGTTACCACGTGTACGCGCCCTGCGCGCGTGGGTTGGAGACCGTGGAGCTCAGGTCCCACCTGGGCAGGAGGTCTGTGCTAGGAGCCGGAATGGCCTCGCATCACAGCACCGAACGTATCCCTGACACACTTCAGTATATCTGAGCAGCAGCACGGGGAGGACTTGGCTTGGAAAAAGGCCTCCGAATCCAGCAGGAGGGCGCCCCTCCACGAACTGCTACCCGGCAGTAATTCCCTGCTGGCCCTACGGCTTCCCCCATTGGCCGGGAAAATTTCCCAGCGTTTCACCTCTGATAGGAATATGTTCTTCTGCCATTTGTGTGCCCCTTTCTGGTGAAAAGAGATTCTGGAAGCAAGTCTTGAATCTGTGAGAGCTTTTAGTGTTTGGTCTCAATCCAGCTGAACTTTCATGTTGTAAAAATGTCCAAATTACTTAAATTCCTTATTAAGATCTAAATGTCTATCTGTAGGAAACTATTGAAATAAACAGGGAACGTACCTACAATGAAATACTATGCGGCAGGAAAAAAGAATGAGATAGATTTATGAAACGTGTGATATAAAAAATCCCCAAAATAATAGCTGAAGCATAGCAAGGTGCAGAACAGTATGTATAATATGCTACCATTTGTGTTACAAATATTTGTGTATAAATTTATACACACACAGAAATTAGATTTAATATGCATAGGATACACAGGAAACTTCTAATAGTGGTTGCCTCTGGAGGACAGGTCTAGAGTCTGGAAGTTTGGTTGAGAGAGACTAAAAAAAATTACAGATTCACAGGAAGTTGCAAAAATATTACAGACGGATCAAGTGTACCCTTCACCCAGTTTCTCTCAATGGTTACATCTTACTTAACTACATTACACTATCAAAACCAGGAGACTGATGTTGGTATAATGTATGTGTATAGTTGTATGTCATTTTATTACTTGTGTAGATTTATGTAACCACCACTGCAATACAGCACTAGATCTGGGAGGGAGACTTTTTACTGAATTCATTATACTGTTTGACTCTACCGTGGCCTATAGTGATTAATTTTATTTATATACATTTATTTTTCAATTTATGCAGTAAAATATAATAAAATTCACTTTTGGTGTACTATTTTGACAAATGAATGTTTTTGTAACCACCACCACAAGAATATTTCCATCACCCTCCAAAATTCTCTTACTACCTAGTTGTAGTCAATCCCTCTCTCCATCCTGTCTTCTGGGAACTACTTATATTCTAACCCATTGCTGTAGAGTTGATTCTGACTCATAGCAACCCTATGAGACAGAGTAGAACTGCCCTCACAGGGTTTCCAAGGAGCTGCTGGTGGATTCGAACTGCTAATCTTTCGGTTAGCAGCCAAGCACTTAACCACTCCACCACCAGGGCTCCACTTATATTCTATTTATGTATCTATGTATAAATCAAATACTATAATATGTAGTCTTTTGGGTCTGGTTTTATTTACTTAACATAATGCATATGAGATTCGTACTAGTTGTGTCTATCAATAGTTCTTTTTATGGCTGCATAGTATTCCATTATATGAATGTACCACAGTTTATCTATTCACCAAAAGAATATTTGATTTGTCTCTAGCTTTTAGGAATTATGAATAAAGCAGCTATAAACATTCATTTGCAGGATTTTGTGTGAGCATAAGTTTCCATTTCTCTTGGAAAATTGCCATACGTCTGTATTACTTTTTGAAATATAAAAGTGACAAAATTTCACATATTATCTTTGTCACCTCTGACTAATTAAAAAAAAAAAATCATTGCTGTGTGTGAAATCTTATTTTCCATAGAATTTGTGAGACCCCCAAGAATAATCGTTGAGAAAGCCTTGTAAAGGATCAGGCCCAATATAAATGGTCCCAGCTAAAAGTTATCTTCTTTTCCATGCCAAACTCTTCTAACCCAGGTGGAAATAGCCCCTTTGTGGTTAGGACCAGAAGGCCTTGGTAGACTGCTGATCACATTCCTGCATAGGTTGCCTTTCACACTCTGCAGGGAGTGACACAAACCTGCCATTGCCTTAAAATGTACTCTATCCCATCCACTACAAGCTCTCTTGTATGGGCTGCTACAGAGACAGAAAGAAGGTTTAATCTGAAGGAAGAACACTGAGACAGATATTGCAAATATAGGGGAAAGAGAGAAGTGGGAGCAGGCATGTGGTTATTTCTCTCAAGTGTTGGCAAAAAAAGCTGTCACTTTTCTCCTGACACTTAAGTTTCTCTCCTCTCCCACCCCAAACTTGTCAGCACAGGACCTGTTATCCCAGGGGCCCTCCCATCTCTTTTAGGCCGGAGGACTTTATCATCATTACAAAAGCACCTAACATTTTTATAAATCTTTACAGTTGCAAAGGAATTCATATTCATTATTATATGCACACAATAGCTCTATGAAATAGATATAATTGTATCTATTTTACAGATCAGGTTAAATGATTATTCAGGTAGAAGTTCAGGTAGAACTTCTTTGGACTCTGGGTTGATGCTCTCCCCACCCCTCACAGCTGAGCAACACCAAATAAAAACTTACAAAAATATTATATCAAAAATCTGAAAAACTAAATTTTTGATTATAAAGTATTACATGCTCATTGAAAAAATTTTAAATGCAGAAAAGGATAAATAAAATAAGCATCACCTAAAACCCCACCAACCAGAGATTAAACACTGTTAATGTATTGGCACACTTCCTTTTTTACTTTCTACGTAGATAATTGAAACATACACACACACATACACCCCTACACGCACGTTCTCCCACATTTTTATAAATTTTGTAATTGAGTGCATATTATACATACAATTCTAATCTGCTTCTGTCACTTAACATTGTATCAAGAGCATTTTCCCCAAAGTAATAAAAAATTCATTCATAAGCATAATTGTTCATGAATAATTCTATTCCATTATTTGAATGATATTTATGATATTCATGGAGACAGAAACAGAGAACTCTAAGAATGATCCTATCCCAGTTGTTCCAGTGTTACACTTACAATGCTCAGATCTCATTGTGAATGGGGTTGCCACGAGTCAAGGGCTGACTCAAGGGCTGTGGGGACATATGCCATTTAAACATGGCTGCACTATTGACAACTGCAGCCCCCACAGGCCTCTATGCTGCACAGCATGTTGCGACTTGTCCCCAACATGTTGCGACTTGTCCCCAACATGTTGAGACTTGTCATGACTTGTTTTCCCAAACCTATTGTCCCTTTACTGATTGGCTTGTTTACCTGAATTCCTTCTCCCTTGCCCGCACCCAAAGCCCATTGTTCTGTTATTTGCTTCACTGCTTGCTGTATTGACTATAAATAAATTCCTGGGACTGAAGCCGGGGTCGACTCCTCAGAGTGACCCTCCTGGCCCCACTTCTCTGTAAGAGTTGTGTTTGGTTACTGTCTCTGCCGTCCCGACAACCGTCGCCGCTGCGACAGATGGTGCCTCGTGTGAGGGGTTGCGACAAAGAGCAGCTAACGACAACAACAACATTTATGACAGTCAATTCACTTTTCTGGGCCCATTTTTTCATCTGTGAAATGAAGGACAGTTGTAATGTCCCTACCTCTTTCTTGAGTCAGTGAGTAAGAGCTAATGTACACTGGGTGAAGATAATCTAGAGAGATTGAATACTTTTACTGGACAGGAGGTTCTGGAAAAGTACAGGGTTTCCAGAGCTCTGCTGTAACTGCAAGAATTCCCGAGACAGGTTCAGGTAGTGTGATTCTAGTAAGGGACAGCTGCCAAAAATAGCCCCTCAGAATCTGAATGTTCAGTCTTCCTAGCTTATAAGATGGGCAAGGCCTTTCACTTCTCAGAGATGGAGGAAAGATATTTGCCTCCAATCTCATGACTATGTTATTTCAGAACGTATAGACTGAAATATTTTTGTTTAATTACTTGTTCATTCATTCAATGATTACTTGTTAATCAACGAAGTGCCAGGTCCTATGCTAGATATTGGGCATAGATGTATACCAGCCTTGCGATCAATGGAGCTTAGATTCTATCGAGGATGGAAATTTTACCCTAAATTGCTTACCTACCTAATTAATTATTTTTTGAAGGAGATGTTCAAAGTGCCACAAGAGTGGGACCTGTTAGAGAGGAGAGGTTTTGAAGACTACCCCCAAAAATGAAATCTAATGCAGATCAAAGAATTTATACACTAGAAAGAACATGAGAAACATATTTTGTGTCTTTTATTTCTTTTTTGTACTCCTTTTAAAATTATGACAATGTGTTAATAATATTCCTAATAATATAATCTATTAACATTCGTTGAGTGCTTACTATGTGCCAGAGGGAGACAGGAACTGGCGATCTGCTCTCATAAAGATTACAGCCTAGGAAAGCCTGTGAGGGAATTCTGCTCTATCCTATAGGGTCACTATGAGTCAGAATCGACTCAACGGCACACAACAATAAGAAGTACCTTAGTAAGAGCTACATATCCATTATTCCTTTTAATCCTCACAGTAGATGAGAAAACTGAGGCTCAGATTGGGTATCTTTGTGAAGGTCACATGGTTAATGGGTGGTGGAGCCCAGTCGGAGATATGGTCTGAGTCGAGAGCCTGCAGTTTAAAAAGTTAGGAAACCAATAATACCAGCTGTGGTGCAGTGAATTACTTAATATGGCCCTTCTAGCCATAGTCTTTGTGACTTTCACACAATGATTGGGTGGGACTATGTAAATAAGTTGTATGGAATTCTATTGAGGTATGGTTGTTGGTGTTGTGTCAGCTTTGCTAGGCCTTGATTCCCAGTATTGTGTGGCTGTCCCCCATTTTGTGATCGGATGTAATTATCCTGTATTTTATGTGTTGTAAATCCTAACCTCTATACGTTAATGGGAGCCCTGGTGGCACAATGGTTAATAG